AAGACGCTTTAAATAAACATTTAGCGGTGCCAATAATGCACCCCTTAGTTCATTCATTCGCAATATACTTGATCAAATCTTTATATTTGAAAGGATTAACAACTTATGACATTAAACAATTCAGTCATGCGCGGCAAAATATTTTACCATGGGTCAGAATTTTAAAAACAGATTGTGATAGTCGACTTGGATTTAATCCTTATTATTACTTTAAACAATTTAAACAGTTTGATCTTTTATTCAGAGAAATTTCTTACAGTGATGAATTATCAGTAAAAAATACATTTAATACGATTGCTGAAAATAATGATATAACTCAAAAAATTTCATTTGCTGGAATGATAATAACAAATTTATAACTTATTAGAGCATCACGCGAATTGAATTCAAATAATATGATGTTAATCTAGAAGATGTCTATATGCTTACATTCATCTCGACTTCCAGAGAATTATAAAATATACCTTTTAAATTTTATGACAAATACTCATCAACTATTCGAGCTAAGCCCAGATGTTAAAAACACTGATTTATTTATTTCATCGGTTATTGCTCATGTTGTAGCGTTACATACGTCACTTCCTGCTAATGCTTCTCCTCTAAGTGCATATATGCAGTTATTATATGATTATAAAGATACATATATATTGACTTGTACATCAGATGAATTGGCTTTAATAACAAATGCTATAATAGCAAAGGATTCAGGAACCAGGAGGTATGTTATTTTATATTATTTTATGTTATTTAACTAAATTTATTTAACTAAATTTATTAAATACATTTCTGTTAACTAATTATATACTATTGTTAATTTATGTATTATATTATAGATATCAATGCAAATGTGGAAATATTTACTTTATTGATAATTGTGGACGTCCAGATGAAAATGGTGTATGTAACCAATGTCACAACAGAATAGGTGGTTTGGATCACGTACTTAATGAAGGGAGTAGCAGTATAGATAGTGATAAAATTAAACGATCTATTGCAGTAAAAGACAAACAAGGCTTATAGTTGAAGATGCATTGAATAATGATTATCATAGTGTTAGAACCTTGCACCCTGCTTCTTACAGGATTCTTCATTTGTTTTTGCATATAATTATTGGCATCCAATCATATTTATCAACTACTATTGCTTTTATTGATAATCGAAATATAAACATTTTTCAATACTGTAAAATGCATATTGAAAATGATTGGAAGGCATTAAAAAGTATTTTTAACTGCGAAGATGAAACTTTAACATTAGTTATTCATGCAATACTTTCAGACATGTTAAAAGAATCTTTGCAAAATGTTGAAAAGATAACATCATCAGTTCAAAGAGAAGCTTGGAAAGATAATTTTAGTCAAAAATATGTTTTACCAAGAATTAAGAATTTTATAGGAACTGCCAATAACTTCCGCATTGTGTTGGATAAAAATGCAGAGAATTCACTTGAAATTAATGAGAATATGCAAACTAGCGAGAACTATTTGCCTTTACTTTGGAGATTAATCAGAAAACCAGATTTAGACGATTTTAGATTTTACTATATGTCAAACCATGAGAATAAAGAGTTATTACCACTATTAAATATTTTTTTGAAGCATGAAAAAAATCTAAACCTTATTAAACATCTTGCACCAATCATGAAATTTATACAAATCCTTTCTTCAAGACTTTCTCATGCTATTGAGAGACAAAAAGCACGTCAATTAACATTTCAACAATTTATAGCAAATGAATGTGAAGATGATGATACTGAAAAAACCAAAAAATCTTTGAATGAAGCATTTAATAGCTTTGCAAACTCATGGAACTGTCTAATTCCATATATCAAGCGATATCAATATAAAGACTTACCACAAGGAATGCCTAAAATGCATAAAAAAATATCAATTGTTTATGGACTATATGAGCCAACTGATGAGTCTATTTATATATGTGCAATAATAGAATTCTTGGTTCAATTACAAAACAATTTTTTAAATGAGATTATAGAAATTTCTTCAGAAACTTGTCACTCGCTAAAATTCATTGAAAAGTCAAGTACCCATAAAAGCGAACAAGAGTCGAAGTATTATTTACAGTCTATTTCTCTTGAAAATGCAAAACCAGAACAAATAATTGATTATGATGATATTTCTGAGGTCTTTTTATATAGTCAACATGATCTTAGACTGGGTTATGGTTGAGAAATTCATTATGACCTATACAAAATCGAAGCTAAATTAGCTCTAGAATTAGTATACGAAATAAGTTAATAAAGACCAATAAAGATTAAATGT